CTGATCACCACCCTCTGAGCTCTGCCATCCAGCCAGTTCCTAATCCATCTCACTGTGCACTCATCTATCCCACACTTCCGGAGCTTGCCCAGGAGGATGTTGTGAGGGACGGTGTCAAAAGCCTTGGTGAAGTCGAGATAGACGACATCCACCGCTCTCCCCTCGTCTATCCAGCCGGTCATTTCATCATAGAAGGCTATCAGGTTAGTCAGGCAAGATTTTCCCTTGGTGAATCCATGCTGACTACTCTTGAGCACCTTCTTGTCCTCCATGTGCCTGGAGACAACGGCCAGTATGAGCCGTTCCATCACTTTTCCGGGGAAGGAGGTGAGGCTGACTGCCCTGTAGTTGCCTGGGTCCTCCTTCTTGCCTTTTTTGAAGACTGGCGTGACATTGGCCTTCTTCCAGTCTTCCGGCACCTCCCCCGTTCTCCAGGATCTTTCAAAGATGATGGAGAGCGGCTTAGCTATGGCATCTGCCAGCTCCCGCAGCACTCTGGGGTGCATCCCATCAGGGCCCATGAAAGTCATGAAGTCATGAAGTCATGAAAGTCATGAAGTCAAACACAAAAAATAGTTCTGTGTGTAAAATCATTCAATAATAATGTAATATTTTATAACTAGCTTTTGTACTTATTCTGATTAGAAGGATACATTTAATCTGCTTCTTTCATTTTTGATTTAAAAAAAAGTACAAGAAATGCCATTCAGATCACCAATTAGAGCTTTAATTAGAACTGTACAAAATATGATGTGGGCTGATTATGCAAGCTAAGTCCAGAGTTTAGCTGCAAATGTTCGACAAAGCAAATGGCAAGCCACCAATATCATAAATAAAGGCTTGTTGTTTATAGTTTTTCTGGAAAGGAATTATTATCATGTTTTGTGTCTCATATTTAAGCCATATCATAGTAGCAGAGTATAGAATCATAGAATAGAATCATAGAATGCTTAGGGTTGGAAGGGACCTCTAGAGATCATCTAGTCCAACCCCCCTGCATACGCAGGGACACCTAGAGCACGTGGCACAGGACTGCATCCAAGCGGGTTTTGAAGATCTCCAGATCTCCAGATATCATAGAATCATTTTTGGTGGAAAAGACCTTCCAGATCATCGAGTCCAATCGTAAACCCTTCAACACTATGCCTGCTAAACCATGTCCCTAAGCGCCTCATCTACACATTTCTTGAACACTGCCAGGGACGGTGACTCCACCACTTCCCTGGGCAGCCTGTTTCAATGTTTCACCACTCCTTCTATGTAGAAATTTTTCCTAATATCTAACCTGAACCTCCCCTGGCACAACTTGAGGCCATTTCCTCTTGTCCCATCTGTAGTTATTCTGGAGAAGAGACCGGCCCCGGCCTCACTACAACCTCTTTTCAGGTAGTTGTGGAGAGTGATAAGGTCTCCCCTGAGTCTGCTCTTCTCCAGGCTAAATAATCCCAGCTCCCTCAGCCGCTCCTCAAAGGTCTGTGCTCCAAACCCTTCACCAGCTTCATTGCCCTTCTTTGGACACTGTCAGAGAATGCAGTGATGCAATGAGGAAGGCCAAGGCACATTTGGAATTAAATTTAGCAGTAGAGATCAGGGACAATAAGAAGGGAACACAGCTTGAGACCGGTCACCAGCTGGATTTAACTCCACCACCATTCTCTGGGCCCGACCATCCAGCCAGTTCTTCACCCAGCAAAGAGTACACCTGTCTAAGCCATGAGCTGCCAGCTTCTCCGGGAGAAGATAGTGGGAGGCAGTGTCAAAAGCCTTACCGAAGTCTGAGTAGACCACATCCACAGCCTTTCCCTCATCCACTAGGCAGGTCACCAGGGCAGGACCTGCCTTTCATGAATCCATGTTGGCTGGGCCTGATCTCCTGGTTGTTGCACACATGCTGTGCGATCACCCTCAAGATGATCTGCTCCAAAACTTTTCCCGATACCGAGGTCAGGCTGGCAGGCCTGTAGTTCTCCAGATCTTCCTTCCAAATCTTCTTGTAGATGGGCATCACATTGGCAAGTCTCCAGTCATCCGGGACCTCCCCTGTTGATCAGGACTTCTGATAGATGATGGAGAGCGGCTTGTCGAGCACTTCTGCCAGCTTCCTCAGCACCCTTGGGTGGATCCCATCTGGCCCCATAGACTTGTGGGTGTCCAAGTGGAGTAGCAGGTCACTGACTGTTTCCTCCTGAATTATGGGGGGGATCTCTTCTCTCTCCATAGGTGTCTTCCAGCTCAGGGGGCCAAGTACCCCTTGAGGATAACTGATCTGGGTGTTAAAGACTGAGGCAAAGAAGGCATTATGCACTTCAGCCTTATCCTCATCCTTGGTGACAATGCTCCCAGTTGCATCCAATAAAGGACGGAGATTCTCTTTGGCCCTCTTCTTCTTGTTAATGTATTTGTAGAAACATTTTTTGTCGTCTTTTACAGCAGTGGCCACATTGAATTCCCTCCAAGCTTTTGCCTTTCAGGAGTTTCCTCCTGACTTCACCGAGGATTGTAAACTCTATCATCTCATGGTCACTATGCCCAAGACAGCCTCCAATCACCACATCTCCCACCAGTCCTTCTCCGTTGGCAAAGAGCAGGTCCAGCAGGGCTCCTCTCCTTGTAGGCTCACTTACCAGCTGTGATAGAAAGTTTATCTTCACGCACACCACAGACCTCCTGTTTCCTGTCTGCTGTATTGTATTTTCAACAAACATCTGGTAGATTGACGTCCCCCACGAGAACAAGAGCTGCTGATTGTGAGACTGCTAGGCAGAACAAAGGCATATCCATAGCACAGAGTGGGCTTTTTCCTATAGCAGACTCCCACCAGGATATCAGCCTTGTTGGCCTTCCCCCTGATCCTGACCCATAAACACTCAGCTTTTCCATAACCCACTTGGAGCTCCATACAATTGAAGCCCTCCCTAACACACAGTGCTACCCCACCTCCTTTCCTTCCTTGTCTGTCCCTTCTGAAGACCCTGTAGCCATCCATTGCAGCACTCCAGTCATGACAGTGATCCCACCACGTTTCAGTGATGGCCACTATGTCATAGTTTTCCTGAAGCACTGTGGCCTCTAGCTCCTCCTGTTTGTTGCCCATGCTGTGTGCATTGGTGTAGATGCACTTCACCTGGGCTGCTGAGCTCTCCCCCAACCCTGGCATGCTGCCCCTAGTCTCATCCCTAGTGATCCCAGTTTTATCCCCCTCCCCCTTCATACCTAGTTTAAAGCCCTCTCAATGATCCCTGCCAACTCCTGGGCAAGGATTTTTTTTTCCCCTGAAGGACAGGTGAACCCCATCTGTCTCCAGGAGGCCTGGTGCTATAAAGACTGCCCCATGGTCAAAAAAAAAAAAAAAACAACAAAATTTGACGGCTGACACCAAACTCTTAGTCATCTGTTAAACAGGTGGCTTTTCCTGTTCCTCCCAGCATCCTTCCCTGACACTGAGGGGATAGAGGAGAACACCACCTGTGCTCCTGCTCCCGCAACTGATCTCCCCAATGCCCTGAAGTCCCTTTTGATGGACTTCAGTGCGGACGTATGGAGGAGCAGGGTCTCTATGATGGTGAGCCAAAGACCTTTATTTAGGATTAAACACAGCTTATATAGTTTCCGATCCCGGAGCAGCCCCTGCCCTGCCTGGGCATCACGCGGAGCCCAGCAACCCAACCAGCCAATCAGGTAGGTGATCACACGCCGACCACGCGCAAGGCCACCCAATGAGCTGCCTGGTCACGCGCTGGCCGCATGGCTGCGGCTCCCGCCTCTCCTGCTCCGCTCCCCCATCTGCTGAGGAGACACTGCCCATCACCGGCCCCAGGCTGACTGCAACACTTCAGTCTTCTCTTGGCAACTTCATTGCCACCAACTTGGAAAAGCAATAATGGATAGTAGTCAGAGGGCCATACAAGACCTGGGAGCCTTTTTGTGATGTGTACTTGATATGTTGAGGAAAAAAATAGTTGAAAAACATTTACATTCCTTTTGATACAGACCAAGTATAAGCAGCTCCAGAGGGGAGTCAAGATGGAGAAGGAAAAACTTAAATAAATAAATAAAAACAGAAGAAGTGAAATAAGGTACCCCAAAAGTATAAGGCCTGACCACTCCCAATTAAAGTAGTCAAGGCAGCTAATAATGTTTTAGCACACAGAAATCCAGGATAAACTGGCATGCATACTCTCTAGTATAAATACTCCATTCCTTTGCAATTTGACATATCAGTAAATTTCCTTTAATACATTACAAACATACCTGAACTTCTATATTGCCTATACCTGTACCTCTCAATTTCAGAAAAGACTTAAGCTGCAGAGATTGCCTTTTACTATGATTTGTTGTCACTGTATGTTTTATGCTGGTGAAAAAAATCATTATTATATTAATGGCAACACACTGTACAACCCAAAAAATGTAGTGCTTTCTTTTACCTAAATGAATAGAGTACCTTAGAACTTAGGGATGATCTCATAGAAAAAAATAAAAAGGAAAAAAAATAAAAGGAAAAAGGTAGCCCATTTTAAATAGAAGGGATGATTCCCATTGATATTAAACATCACCATACATTTAACCTGCTGCATTTCAAGTAATCATAATTACAATACTGAAAATAAATGCATTACCTGTGTATACAGTTTTTAGATTCGAGATATGCCATACCAGAAGCAGCATCTAATGAAAATTTCACTAATTGTTTAGTTTTTAGCTCATCCTTCTTCTTTCTTAAAAAGGACAGGAAATCTCCTCCTAGAGAAACAGATAATTGTACGATGAGACATGACAGGTAAAATACTTGCATTTATCTCTCATTAAGTACATGAGAATGAGGAAAATGTTTTATCAGTGGTTCTCTTTGCCCCATCAGTCTGAGGTTAGCCAAAAAAAAGGAAAGAAAGCCCTCTCACCAGGACCCGCTTTGCCTAGGTTTCCTGAAATACATGCTACTAGAATAGGTAATGACCATGCTTCTTTTGACCAGACTGGTTATCAACCAGGTTTGGTAACTGTCAGGAAGCAGACCGTGCCACTGAAGCAAGTGCCATTTCTCCCATGTATATCAGAATTATTCTGGTTATAGTAAAGAGTTAAAAATCATTATCAAGCAATTCACACACACACACCACCAAATAAGCAATATTTGCATTCAAATCTCACTAGAATTATTTTGTTTATATATTGAGCACTCACTGTTCTGTATATAGCAATCATCTTGTAGCAAGTATGCCTATATGTCTATATTAATGTAGAAGTTTTAATTATTTCCAGTGTTGACAAATTGTGGCACTGCTTGTACAGGAACATAAAATCAAGACAACTTACAAGAAAACTGCCAAGCAATCCTAAAAAATCTATCAAGAAGCAACCAATGTTTTCCAATACTGAAGGCTGAGAGTTCCAAACAACTTACTGCAGGAAGTCCTGAAAAAGCAGATGACCACAGTTTGACACACGAGAAAGAAAGTAACCTTCTGACACAGACATATTTAGCTATCACTTACTTCTAACAGGCATAAAAACTGGAAATGGAACTCAACAAGATGTAAGACTATATGGGCTTGAATACATAGCAATTCTATAAATTTGGATAATTTCTAATTTTAGAAATTTCCAATTTTATACATTTTCATTTTTGGAAATTTCTTGGAAATTTACAGATAAAAATATAAATATCAGCTGCAGTTTCAACACATTTGTTTTATGAAACAGAACAAAGATACAGAGATATAAATGCACCCTAGGCAGTGCAAACAGACAGGAAAATAGATACTCTTCCAGAATCACCAAAATTATTACAACTTGTAATTAGCATTATTGTCAGGTATCTACTGATGAAACTATTTATGAAACAATAATATTTATTTTGTGGTCATAGCATTTAATTATCTCTTTCCCATGATTTTATGCTTATAGGCATAGCACTAGATCTCCTGTTGGCCACTCTCTCTGTCTATGCCAGTTGATCACTACTGCCAGCTACCACATCATTTAACCAATATACAGTTCATCAAATCTAAATCTGAGTTACAGGTAAAGGAATTGTTAGCTACCTCCTTTTAGGCAAAAAAACAACAAAAAAGCCAAAAAAACCCCAGCTAAAACTGTGTAAGAACTAACAGAGAATTGTGGGAAATTTCTTGAGAAGAGGGAAACTCGAGAAAAACTAAGGCCTAACAGAAGTTACGGCATTACAGAGGTTTGCTTGGGGTGAGACACAGTTGCCACTTCCAGGATGGTTCGTATGTACAGAATCTACTCCTCCACGGTTCCCTTGGTAACACAATCTGCCCTCCTAGCACACGCTAATAGGAGTAAATGAAGAGCGAAGCAGAATGGAGACACCAGGGCCAAACTGTTGTACTCCCTGCAGAGGTGGCAACCTGATGGTGCCGTGCAGCTGATAAGCCACATAGTATGATAAGATGTCTGGTGCTGGGCCAACAATGGTGGCAGATCAGTCCCTTCCCATGGACTTTGCTTGAACTTTTACTCATTATAATGTCAAAACACGCATCCATCCGAAAAGTTAACCGCCTCCAAGGTATGACCACTCCTCACTGAGCATGCGCTCTAGATTTTCAATTGACTATACCTTTAAATGAAAGCGAAGGACTTTTACACCAATCAATAACAATATTAAGTACGACTAGAGTCACTCAAGCTCCATCTAAATGTAAAAAAAAGTATAAAAGGTGAACTAAGGATGGGAGAAGTGGGGGAAGATTCCATCATAACTTCTGGATCAGTCAACGGGCTGAACCCCTTTCCTCCCCTCAGATCGGGATGCCACCTGAGGAGACTCCTCGAGGTTGAGAGCCCTCTCCCATCTTCCAGAGTGAGTGATAATTGCGCATTTGTACATCAGAGCTAGCTAAAAACACCACACTATCATAGAGAATTTCCTGTATGGACATCCGAAATCTGCTTTGTAAATGTTGCATTTGAATAAATCATGCTATTTGTGAACTCGACGACTTGTTTTGAATGCAGTTGGACCTATAGTCAACAGACTGTTTGTGAATCCGTTGATGCTAGAGCCAGGCCTATAGCTACCACGGTATTTGGCATCCTTATTAAGAGACGAGTCCAGCTGCCCCCTGTCCCTTCAACCTTTGAGGATTGGCTGGAACACAAGGGGATTCATCTCTTACCACATTTGTCCCCACTTCAAGCTGCAACACCCCACCAGGAAGATAGGGAAGTGGGAAATCCTGTGGAGGCAGGATGCTCTTATGTCACTAAAGACTGCCACAATGCCAAACTGGACACTTTTCCTTCTCTCTGGGATACCTAATGTACTCCACTTAGTCGTGCTAATTCCTGTTTACTAGTTGATCAGACAATTCCTATAACACATACACCAGTTGATGATGGATGTTGTTATCACAAAGATCTTGCGCTGGTGAATAAAAGCAACTAATCCATTGGTCGCTGCTCCTATGGATTATTTTACTGTCTCCTTTAATGACAGATAGCATGACATGATTCCTGGACAAAGATTCTTTTTCCCCTGCAAGACAGGGGAACTCAGTCTGTTGCCAGGAGGATCAGTGCTGTATAGACTGCCCCATGGTCAAAAAAAACAAAATTTGACTGCTGACACCAACCTCTTAGCCATGTGTTGAGCAAGTGGCTTTTCCTGTTCCTAACAGCATCCTCTGACACTGAGGGGATAGCGGAGAACACCACATGCACTCCTGCTCCCTAAACTGATCTCACCAATGCCTTGAAGTCTCTTTTGATGGACTTCAGGCTTCTCTCAGCAACTTAATCACTGCCAACCTGGAAGAGTAATAGCAGGTAATACTCAGAGGGCCGTACAAGACCTGGGAGACTTTTTTGTGATGTCCCTTACCCGGGTCCCAGGGAGGCAACAGAAGTTAGTTCAAAATTACCATCAACAATCTTAAGCGAAACTGAAATGCAAGCCATTTTTTTCATTAACATATATAATTTCTGATCTAGCTTTTCACTTTGGTTATATCTCTGTATCATGCTCTGCTACTTTATTTCTTTTTCTCAGTTAATCACTGCTATGCCGACTTGAATTTTCTTTATCAATGTGATCCTTTCTTTAGGAAGCATGTGACTTGTTATGTTCCGTAAACACAAAAATTAAAGGTTCTACCCATAACAGATGAATATCTTTGCCAATGACTTTATCCAGAGGCCTCAATTCCATTTACATTTGGGACAACGGGGTGGGGGGGAGTTAATGATCGAATCACCTCCCTACATGAAGTGCTAAGTTTCCAAAGCATTTTTAACACCTGAACAAAGTAAGACTGAATTGAAATCTGAATCTGAAATGAAAAGCAGGTTTAGCCACTGCTGAAATACCCAAATCCACATCAAAGCAATTTTAAAGACACAGTAAGCACCATAGAGTATACAGGCATTTGGAAAAAATAAACGAACAAAAAAAAACAGGGCAGGAAAATCACAAACATTAAACAGGACACGGGGACACAAAACTTATCACAGGGGGATTCACATTTTATGGAGCTGTTTCTAATCTTTTTTTCCAGAGAAAAAACAAACAAACAGCCATACAGATTTATGAATTGCATATTTCCACAGCTGCACACTTACAGAACACAATTCTAACCTAAAGCATTCAATTTTTAATTTTTAAAAATAACATCAGAATTAAACTACTTAAACACCTCCAAGCATAAGGATCTGTAACACAAAACACATGCTGAGAAAGCTGAGAAATGAGTGTAAGTCAGCAAGCCCACCAATATTTTTTCTTCAAACACAGCATTAAATACCAGATCAAAGCACTAATAATTATTATTTTAGATAATCTCATCCAACTTTCTATTATAGAACTGAAAACTAGTAAAATCAGAGTCACTGCTTTTCTGATCTTAATTAAGTTAATGTTTTGTCTTGCTTTACTCTGTCAACTTCAGAGTTGACATCCTTATTTCTTCTGGATGATTTGGTCAAGCTTATGGTGTGCTGGCCAAGTTTTAACTCTCAAAAGTGCACAAAAAAGTGTGATGGCTTGAACCTAGTGCAAAGTTATTGAGGGCATGCAAGCATGGCAGCAAGCCAGAGGACATACAGCCCAGCAAAATAGGATTAGAATTAATAAGTTTCTTGCAAATGCAAAGCCAGGCAAGAAAAGATATTTTTGGATAGCTTTGGCATGGGAAACGGTGAAAGACTTTCACTAATTCCTTCTGTAATTGTATTAGTCTGTTCCTACAGCGTTTCCTAGCCTCTGAAAACCCTGAACAAAAATGATAATGTGTTAGAAGATCAGGATTTATATTTATTGGCAGAGATGTCTGGATAAGCTGATTACCGAGTATGCCTGTCTCAGGACAACGCTGTAAGTCTCCATTTTCATAAAGTTACTCACATGGCCAAATATGATAATCTAATATAATCTAATTGAGTAAAGGCAAGTCAAAGATTTCATCAGTGAACTTGTACTAAAGCCAGTATTCAAGAATGAATTATAAACATTATTTACTAAGTATTCATGAATGAAATGGTTTGTAATACAGCTTGCAGTGTAATTTAGAAGACAAAACTAGTGATATATAAAACCAATATGCTGGTGCATATCAAGCAATACTACAGGCTACCAAAACCACATTTTCCAGCTGCTGAGAGAATCAACAGAGCAACAGAACTGCCCAAAGGTGATAACATCACCAAAATTTGAAACTGCAGCTGTTGGGGAATAACATGAACCCCAAATTCCAAAAACAAATGAAGAATAACTGATAAACTGAACAATGAACGATGTATTCTTATAAAGAGGAAATTATTTATTAGAAAGAGAAACCTATCAATTGCTATTAATATTACCAAAGATAATCCAAATTTGAATTGTTAAAACTGAAGCACTCCCCAATAATGTAGCTTCTTTAAGTACAAGCATCATAGTATTCACAATATAACCCTATTTTACAGAAAGTATTCAGGAAATAAATGAAGATAATGTAGAGATACCTTGTAGCAAATTTTGTCATTTTGAATAGCTACAGAAAAACTTAGAAGAGATTTGAATAGCTCAGTCCACTCTTAAACTGGTAGAAGCAAAGATCTACAAAGATTTCCAAACAGGTGAATTTTGAGATCAGTCATTAGAATGGAAATAAAAACAAAGAGAAAACTAATACCTTTTACACAACAGAAACCCTACATATTAACATATGATGTGAAAAAAAAGGAAAAAAAAATTACCTCGAACAAGTTCCATAACAATATAAATAGGTTGCCGTTGTGTGCAAACTCCTATAAGCTTCACAATATTAGGATGATCATATTGTTTGAGTATTCTGCAAAGCATACATTAGGTTTATTATATTAATAAACTTAACTGTAGAAACCAATTAAGTATCATGTGAAAAAAAATTAAACCCTTAATGTTATTTTAATGGAACATGCCATTAATGCTATCGTTAAAAGACAAAACAAAAACAATGTAAGAGATGAATCATTACCATTCTGTTTGAAACTGAGAGGCATGTCAATTCACTTATAAATCAAGATTGAACACCACATTATTTTGATTGTAAAGCTACCATTTGTCTACACAAAAAAAGAACTGAAAAACTGCTTGACAGGTTTGGCATTTCTCAAGAACTGTTGCAATTAAATAGCATTTCAGTGGCGAACCAACAGCAGAGTTATGTCAAAAAAAGCATGTGCTGTTCATTCAAATCACACTCCTTCATATTTTAATGCACAAAATTACTTAGCACAATAAAGTTTTAAAACAATACAGAAGCAGCAATTTAATTTGGAAGAGCTAAACAAAAACATTTACATCTTCTTACTCAATGCTTAACAAGAACACATTTGCAGCCTAAACCAGCATGCAATGATTTATAAGTGTAATGAAAGACTAAGAAGAATTCTAGAGAGACATTATAACGTCTTTTTTTTTCCAATTATTTGATAACTTAAACCACTGCTTCTTTTTTTCTTTTCCCTTTGAGCAAGAGTAAAATAGTAGCCTGCTTGGTGAGAAATAATCCATTTATTTTTTTTCCCAGTATTACAGTGTTTCTTCAGTGGTAAGCTGCAGTAGCCAACTGACTTATGAGCCATTCAAAAGTATTCAAAAGCTATAATGGCTGATATCAGTTCTTTATATAGTGTCTTATACTTTTCCATATTGATCATACTATTCTTTGGTAAAAATGAAAATATTTTATGTTCCATTAGAAGAAGAGAGCAAGATAATTTAAATAATTTATCTTGTATTTATGCAAGATAATATATTTATTTGCATACCCATATAATCAGCCTATATTCAAAATACTTAACATATTGTGGTATGATTGTCATTCAAAAAACAAGGTATGCAATCATATGCTGTCTGAAACAGCAAAGAATCACTCTTCTGAAATGGATTCTTCCAAAAGGAAAATTATCGAATGGGATGTATATTATAACCTGACCAGATCTGAAGAACTGTTAGTCAAGCATGTGAGAAGGTAGAATTTATGACTGATATAATCACATTTAAAGTAACGACTCCTTATCTCAATTCTTATGGCGCTTTTCAGACAAAGTTCTAAATGGAGACAATTACAGTAAGAAAAATATGTTTTTATAAGTGCAACCTGCTTTGCTGAAGAGGTGGTTTAAGGAAGTGCAGATTATGCGGCATTCACATGTTAAAAATATGTATTTTTAGCTACTGGCTAAACAGCTGTAGTATGTATTGAGAGAGAGAGAAAAAAAGGAAAAGTTTAAGAATTGCTTATTTGAATCTTTGTAAAGGTCAGTTTTTATAAGTTCATTCAAAAACAAGCCTTGAAGAAACAACTCAAAATAAATATATATTTAATTTAATTTAGGGGACTTACCTGGCTTCTGACAGAAATTTTATTTTCAGTTCCTGAGGAAGATCTTCTTTACAAGTTTTTACGGCAACAGGAATCTTATCCTTTAATGTTCCTTTATATACCTCACCAAAATTGCCCTGAAATCAGGAGAAAAAAATAATTCTAATTAAACAAAGCCTTCACAAATAGTCAGAAAAATATTGCAGACATCTCATGTTTGAAAGCATTTTACAATGCTTTTAGGAAGTCACATGAAGTCTTCTTCCAGTATCTTGGCTCTTAGATCTTAGTTCACATAGACATCATATATCTGTTATATGAATATTACATATGAATTCTAATTTGACCTTGTTGGAAAGAGAGAGAAAAAAAATCCATAAATTGTGCAGTTGTAATTTTTTTTTGTAAAACATCTTAGTAAATTCTAAAGTCAATTGATACTGAAAATAGCATTTTCTTTCTTTCTTATTGTTTCTCCCTCCCTCTTTCATTTCAAGCTGTTGTATTTCTCAGCTTCTGTCTGTAAGATACAAAAACATGTTCTGTGAAACCAGGACAGAACATTTTAAAATCACATAAACAGTCACACATAAAAGGAAGGAAAAAAAGGAAAGTAAGAAAAAAAAAATCAATATTCAACCTTAAATCTGATTGCAAATTAAAGGCACTGAAAAAAGTGTTTTTTTTTCCCCAAAATGGTTAAGCATCCCAATACATTTCTTTAAGCTAACCTGCTCAACACTGTTCTATAAAGACAAGTAAGCACATTTCGACATTAGTTTAGAAAGCATTTCCCTTTTATAACCACATTTTAAAGATTTTTTTCACCAGTGTAAGTTATAATTTTTTTCATAGGAGGTGTTTGAAATAATTAGCAGAATAGTTTTATTTGCTACTTAAGTAAGAACAGAAAAGGAATTAAGAGAGATAGTGAAGGAAAAAGCATATTATGAAATATATAACAAAACACTAGGGTCAAACAAAAACTCACAAGAAAACAACCAAAAATTGAAGATCTCATTCTTTTAGTTAGGAAGTTTTGCATTTCCCCAAGAATTCTAGCAATTCCATTTTAAGGGTATATCAGGTATATTTCCATGAGTTCCTCTCCCATGTGGTAGTATTTGGAGCTGCACATGAGTTCAACAAATAGCAAAAAAACTCCTGAAAATGTCTTCCTTTCTTTCCTTAGTGATGGAAATTTCTTTATATCATGCACTCGAATACTGTAGTGCCAAAGGATGAGACAGCAATACAGCTGGCAAATACAACATATACTCTACAGTAGTCATCCCAAATCATTTCTAAAATAGCAGTTTATTATTATTATTATGCAGTTCATTATTTTTTAAAAAATTCTTAACTAGATTTGCTTTTATAATTGCTTCTAAGCAGCCATTTGTCTTTATTGAGGGCAAAAAAATGTTTTGCACCAAAAACATGAACACATTCATAAAATCATTTTAAATACTTTTACTCATCAAGCTTAATTCATATGTCTTTTTTTGGAAGACAAGCCTTTTTGATGTCTGAATCTTTATTTTCTTATGCTGGAATCATCTTTATTTTTCTCCTCTTGAGAAGTTTCTGTTACAAATGTGAAACTGGCACTGTGTCTGTATAGCATTTTATGCAGCTGTAGCTCTGTCTAAATATATAAAATACTTCTTGTTATCTTAAACTTGCCAACTTAAACAAAGCTTTTATCCCAGGAAGCGGATTTTCGGACAATATTTAATTTTAAATGGTGCATTTGCCCTAACTTTGTTGGTAGGTGCAAAGCTACTGAAAGTAGCTTTAGTAGTAAAGTACCTTTAGTAGTAGGGTAACAAGGTAACAATTACCTGAGTAGAAGTATTATAAAGACTTATAGCTACTAGGCAGATTTTGTGATATGAAGTTATGGAAGAATTGTTTGAAAAGGGGAAAATCATAGAAAAACTAGGGTCTAATAGAAGTCATGGCATTACAGAAGCTTGCTTGGGGTGATACACAGTTGCCACTTCCAGGATGGTTGGTACGCACGGACTCTGCTCCTCCACGGTTCCCTAGACAGCACAATCTGCCCTCCTCGCAGCTGCAAAGAGGAGTAATGGAGGATGGAGCAGGGTGAACACACCACGGCCAAACTCTGTTGCACTCCCTGCGCGGGGCTGCTGATAAGCCGCACAGTGGCTGTCCAATGGGAGATATACGATAACATGTCTGGTGCTGAGGCAGCAAGGGTGGCAAATCACTCCTTTCAGATGAACTTTGCTTAAACTTTGCTCATTATAAGCTCATTATAATGCCAAAACACACCTCTATCCCAAAGTTACCCACCTCCGAGGTATGACCACTCCTCACTGAGCATGCGCTCTAGATTTTCGTTCGACTATACCCTTAAATGAAAGCAAGAGACTTTTTCACCAATCAATAACAATATTAAGTAGGACTAGAGTCACTCAAGCTCCACCTAAATGTAAAAAAAATATATATAAAAGGTGAACTAAGGAGGAAAGAAGGAGGAGGGAAGATTCCATCATAACTTCTGGATCAGTCGATGGGCTGAAACCCCTTCTCCTCTTGAGTTGGGACGCCGCCTGAGGAGACTCCTCGAAGTTGAGAGCCCTCTCCCATCCTCTGGGGTGAGTGATGATTGCACATTTGTACATCAGAGCAAGCTAAAAACCCCACGCTCTAGTAGAGAATTTTCTGTACTGACATCTGATATCTGCTTTGTAAATGTTGCATTTGAATAAATCATGCTATTTGTGAACTCGACGACTTGTTTGGTAGGTGATCGGCTCTACAGTCAACAGACTGTTCATGAATCTGGCACTGCCAGAGTCAGGTCTATAGCTACCACAATATTTGTCATCTCCCCCCCACTTCAAACTGCAACAGAAGTAAAGCACATAAGAATTAATTTAATACATGTAACTATTGTGAAGTTACCTATCATTCAGTAAGTCATACAAAAGCAATGAGCATTTGTTTTTGCAAGTGTTCGTTAAAACATCCTATTACATTACATTTCTTTTAATTTAAAACTTCCTATTTTGCAAAAATTGTTTTCTTTTGTAAGATTCAACAAAGTAAAATATTTGCCTATTGCTTTAAAGCAACACAGCTAGCTTTCAGGTCAGGTCTTAGGTCTTCCAAATGAGAAAAATATGCACACTATAGCAGCTTTCAGCAGTAAAACAAACATATCATTTGCCTGTAAATGTGATTTGCATTTACTTAAAGCATAACGCTATGATTGTATTGAAGTAAAAGAACTGGCATAGAAATTGCATACCAGAGTAATTTAAAAGATAAGGAGAAAGAAAATGTATAGACTTCATGACTAATATATACTTAATTACATGTTATTTTGCTCACTTGATTACTTACTTTGCCTAGTAATTCCCCCAGTGTGACATCTTCATGACTGAGAATCCATTTCTTATCCTATGGAAAGAAAAGGAAATAAAAATTTTGAGTTTGTGACAGTATCTACATCCATTAAGATATATTCCAGCCAGTAGAAAAGTTAAACAATTGAAGAAGTGAAATGAAATTAACAATTAGAGTTTGTAAAACAGACTTTAGAAATCTTACTACGCAATACCATATTGAAATACACTATATAGCAAATTTCTATCAGAAGATTAAGCCTGCAACATGAGAATATGTATGTAGAAAGAACACAGTATGCACTTTTCACAAAAGCTCTCAAAAGCTCTTGCCAAAAGTACTTAAGTCAAAATCAGATACAAACACTTCCATTTTAGAATACAAAATAGCATATTGCTAGATCAAAAAAACATTTCTCTCCTAGGTGTACTGAAAAAGGAAACAACTTTTCTTAACATGAACTAGACATGTATTTGTATTTCTTAAATCTTTTGTGGTAGTTTAATATATTATAGGAAACTATTTAAAAAAGAAAACATAAAAAATGCCAATTATAGTATCCATTCAGTGCTGATGACCAACACTGCAAATATTCTCAAATAGCCTACAGACACATCAAAACCAATTATAAGCCTCTTGATACATAGACATATTTAATAAATACTTATGTTAAAATGCTATAGTTGCATATTACAAGTCTATATCGTACAATGAAACAACTATTTATTGTTTCTCACTTTTAATATTCTGTTAGCACCTTAAATGCTAACAACCTCACAAACACTACTACCACCAATCATGTTACTGGTAAGATCCTAATTATCTTTCAAGCTTTCTCTATTAATTAAAAAACAAATGTACTGCCAACTCAGTAAATCATTTCACCTTAAACTCACAGAAAACCAAACATGTTTGCTTTGCAGCATCCCTGATATTAGAATGGATGACTTGGCCCCATTTCTATTCAATTTCAGTGCTTAAACAAAAATAAATTACATCACAGAGCATTCATTTATAGGATTCAGAGTCCCAAAGTCTTTAGGACTTTTCCAGATTAAAACTGATACCAGAACTCTATGAGAAAAATGTATGGATGTCAATATAGTGGAATGGAATACATGTTGTGCTGTTGCAATGTGCGCTGAACCATCTGCTAGTAATCTTACCATGTATAACCGTCTATTCTATAGGATACAGTTTCGATCAATCACCAGAAGTTAAAAAAAAAATGGAAATTTATTAGAATTATGATGATTTAAAGTTACCTTCTTCCTATACACTTTTACTTTCAATTAAGCTCTGAAATACATTATGGTCATCTTCTGTTGACTACACATTAAGGGAGTGAATAGTTATAACAGAATGTAGTTTATAACCAAGGTTTTTTTTTAAAAGCCCACATATTTTCATTCCGAGAGCTAAAAAAAAAAAGAGAGACATAATGTCTTAATATGGCCATCTAAAACTGATATATCAATTGAAGTTTAAAAGTATGTACTATTAAACATTCTTGTACCAGCATCAAGGAAAAGTACAAGAGACTTCACTTTTAGCAAAAATTGAGATAAGACTGAAACATTTTAACTTAAGGAATAACCATTTTCCAAAGTGTTCTTAATTTTTTGGATTGCATTGTCCCATTTGCTTTCAGGGTCAAAAACAACAGTGTGAGAATTATTGCCACCATTTTATTTATCTGATATAAAGATCTTAACATATTAGAACAAATTTTGCAACTGAAAAATTGGAAAAGGTCTGTTAAGGTATTACATTCATGAAAGTTCTTAGCATAGGTTATGATATATATCAAGTGATTCTTTTTTTTTTTTTTACTGGTTTGCTTTAAGTGCATGTTCAGTACATTTAAGACTGCTGCACAAAGTCTGTTTCCTTTTGATTTAGACATTCGCATTTCTGCTTATGTATTTATCACTATTCCACTTAGATATTAAAACTAACAGCTATTTGCTGTACTGCTAAGGTCACACACAGTCTTTGTAATCCTGTAATTGGTGTCTGCTTTCCAAGTGAATCACAGCATGCACATGGGCTCTCATTGAAAATCACTACATACAATCACAACAACACATAATGCATATATACATTTTAGCATAGGTCAAAATTTTACTCACTGTTGCTTTACAGTGTGAAATTATCTTAAAAACAAAACAAAAGCATATGCTGCCCCATTATTCCCTCCCTGAAGCATAATGTACCAGGACAAATAAAACCAAAAGATTGTTGTGGATGCAGCTCTGAAGAGGGTTACCACTACATAAAAATGCATGCACATGTTTGAACCCTCTGATTTTTATTTTGGCACACCATAAAGCACATAAATTCAGGAATGACAAATTATACTAGCTTCTCAAGCTTCCAAGATCTCATACATTTAACGAGCCAACGCAAACACCTGATAGATATTGGTTAAGCATAAGAGAGAACTTGGTAACAATTGCTAGTATTGAGCAGGAAAAATACTTTATATCACACTGTCACACTCATATTAACCTAGAATTTTCTAAAGCCTTGGACATATGAGAAAAAAAAAGCTTAATATCCACTTCTATTTACTTAAAATCATTAAAACAGAGGCTAAAGATATAGGGTAAATAAAGTTACTACTCATGATGTTGCTTGCTAATTTGATATTAGGCAATTTCATGACAGATGAACACAACAAATCATCTTACATAGCATTCAAGTGACAAAGATGGGTCTGGCTGCGGTTTTCTTTTTTTTTAACAAGATCTTTAGTGCCCTTGAATTTTTATATTACATGCTCTTAGAACATTATCAAGCCACAATCCCTTGTGAAAAGTCTGCAATTGACCATAATTATTAAGAACAATTTGGTATTATGTACACTAAAATAACACTTAAAAATGTATACTTGATAAACAGGAGCAGAAATTTAAAGACTCAGTCTTCAATAATGCAGAGTCTCAAACAACATTCAGAGCATGCCCTGCATTTTTCTTTACAAGCTCTTCCACATCCTGCCCATGTCAAACCAGCCTTCAAAATCCATACTTCTCACTCTTTGAACTCTCTCATCACGCACTTCCTACACAAAACTATGGTATTTACCTTCCAAGTTTTTCTTTATTCCATGCTTGCAGTGAGGTGCCACTGAGCACTCGGACAAGCATGCAGCAGAGTAGACACACCACATGATAGGTCAGTAAAATATTGCAGAGCAGTAGATACATGCAAACTGATGGGCTTAAGCTGGTTTCTTCAAATGAGCTGATAAATCATGCAAAGGACAAAGTTTGAGCTTTATACGAGTGGCTGCTTGGACTTCTTGCATTTATGTCTGTCTAATCCCGGTGGTACCCAAGTTTTTAGCTCTATCTAACCAGCTAAAATTCATGGTGACAACTGCTAAAATCACCATATAAACTCACTGTTGGTAAGCCTTTCCCCTATAAACCAGAAAAAGTTACTTTAAACTTCTGCAAAGAAATGTACCATATATTAATAAACTTCCCACATCTCTTAAAAATCATTGCAAACTATAGTAATACTGTATTCATTATAAGAAATTCATTTAAATATAAAAACATTCATTTCACTTCTTCCTCTATCTTTTACTATTTTTTAAAAATCAAAACTGTTGTAACCCTTTGCAATGATAAAGATCTACGGGGAAGATCAAAATTTAAACAAGAAAATTAGAAAATAGCTATTAATTATTAGGTAATATTAGAGTGGTCTACATTACACATTTCAAAGCATCTTTCATAAAAATTCATAATGCCAGAAGAAAATATTGCCTTAAAACTTTGAAAAATGTACCTGACAAATAAATCAGATTGATTAGATCAAATTGACTGATTGATTAAATCAGATCAGAAAACAATTAAATCAGATTTTAGTATTACACCAAATTTGACAACTTCCACTCATTGAGTATCATTCTGTTGCTATTGCCTTCAAACTAGTCAGTAAAGTTTATAAAAATACAAATATTTGGAAAAGAAACTGTGCAAATATATTTTCAGCTACAGAAGGTAGGAAATATTCTACTCTATATGTTGACAATGCTTCCACGTAAGTGTAGTGTATGAATCCTTTAGTTAAAAGATTCAGTAGAGATTACACTAGAAGAATGCAGACGGAACATCTATTACCTTTCAAAGTTCTAGAGAAGACTGTTTTTAAAGTAACTTACTATGGGCTACTAAAACATTCAAGTTGAATCTGGCTGACCTGACAATCATTCTTCCTGACAATTGTATGCAGACTGACTTTTTTTTCCCCCGAATGCAAAAGATGGGGATGGGGTGGGGAGCAGTTTTGAAGGAAAAACATCTGTATGGCAATCAATATTCTTAGTGATACTGCAGGCATTTTATAAAAAGCTCTAATAATTCTATCATTTCAAACAGATTTTGAAAGAAAGCATGAAGAATAACCCATGATAAAAAAATCTTTGTCCTACAATAATCTTTAGATAATTGTAAAATATAACGATAAATTATCTGAAATAAACTAGAAGATAAAAAGTTTTGAAAAATAGATTTTCATTTTTGTCATTAGCATTCTACAGAAAGATTTTTAGCAGTGTACAAAATTATCTATGGATATAATGCTCCACTTTATACATAATCCAAACTCAGTAGCTCAAGCCCAGACTCCAGTTCTATGGCATTACTGATGCATTTCTGTTTCCCACAATGGAGACAAGAAGCTGGCCACTATTTCCACATCTTCACCTTAGGTTCAGTGACTCACAACACATTCTGCTAAGAAAACAATCTTATTGCCAGTGACTGCAATTCCTACTTTAGCTCAAACAACGGCGGCCTGGACCGCGAAGGAAAATTTCATGAAATCTCAATGGGAATTCAACATATAATATCCTTGTACATCCCGTATCAAGGAAATTTGAGAGCTGGGACTCAAATTCAGAAGATCTTTTTTTTTTTCAAATGAAGCAACTCAAAATACAGCGTAGACCATTCAGTCCATGAGCTTGTCACCGAAAACCGGGAATAAACCTCTTAACACCAATGGAGTATTAAGAAGCAGGCACTCACTTTATTGCAGCGCTGGATGCACGGGGGATAGCTCCACCTATCGTGCATGCCCTAAGGTGCGTTTGCTAAAACTTTCTATATTATCTACATATGCATTAAATTCTTGGAATGATCATACATAGTCCTTCTATTTCCTGGAACTAATTACAATCTACCCCACCCTCGCGCGCGTGCGCCCTCTGTCCCTTTCGTGGTCTCTAGTGGTCTTTCGAGACCCCTGGTGGTCGTCTTTCCCTGTCCATTCGATGACCTCTGGTAACTCACTTCCATATGTGGCCTCATTTTGGCTCAGAAGGCCCTTTTTGGTCCTACTGCCCAGTTTCAGCCGCTTCCTTGAAGATAAGTTGGTCCTTATCTTCGTCTTCAACCGGTATTTGCTGTTTTGTCTGTATTCTCTCATGATGTCCCAGTAACACCTGCTGTTTTGTCCATACTCTCTCATAATATGCTAGCAACAGTAGGGAAAATATGTCCTTGGTTGCATTCTCTTCTGAGGTTTCTCATAACACTAGGAAAAGAGGATGATCTTGCAAAAAGCTCATCAATTATGGGGGGACGAGCACCCACGGGTGGGCCAAAATGTGATAGACGCACCCACTGTGGAAGAGATGAGCGAATGCATCTCATCCAGCCGCTATACTAAATGTGGGGGATAAATTTGAGATGCATGAATTTCTTTTTGTCCGAAACTGTGATTGCAATCATAATTGCAAGATTTGATGGCTAAGTTGGGAATACAAATTAATATTGTAAGGGATAATAAGGAAGCTAACACTATTGTAACTTTGTGCAAAATGTCTGATAAAGCTTATACTAAATTGAACTCAGAAGTGTGGGCAGTTCCAGGAAAATGTGGAAAACTAGACATGGAACCTTTTCAAACTGCTTTAAAGCAACCAGGCCAGGTAGTCTTTAAATTAAAAAGCAGTATCCTATTTCATGAGAGGGAAGGAAAGGGTTACAACCTATTACCGAGTCCCTGCTGGGAGCAGGACTTTGAATGGGAACAAGAGGAGGGAGGAAAAAAAATCAAATGATAAAGATAAAACAACACTTGACGTGGATGGTCCTCCTGATAGAACAACAGTTGACGTGAATGGTCTTCCCACAAGGATACACCGAGGCACTGCACCAGTCCTATTTGGACAAGCCTTAGAGAAAATATTGAAGAAATTTATCCCTCCCCCAGGTGTTAGGTTATTGCAGTACATGGATGACTTGCTCCTATCAGGGGAGCAGGAGGGAGTGGTGGAGGAAACCGCTCTGAAATTGCTCAAGTTTTGGCGGGGCTCAAAAAGGGCTTAGGGTGTCTGTAAAGAAAGCACAAATGATGGAAAGAAGGGTCAAATATTTGGGGGCACATCTTGACTGGAGATTTACAATGTATTGACCCAGAAGGAATTCAGGGAATTTTAGAAGTACCGTCACCCAGGACGAAGAAAGAGCTATGACAATTCCTAGGGGAATGTGTGGCCACAATACTTTGTCTTGTAAAATCTCTCGGACAGAAAGCCCACCTGGCACAGATCCTGCCCTTAGATTTTGCAGTCCATAAAATCTAATCAGAAGATTGGGTCTTGGTGAAAGAGTGGAAAGAAGTACCACTGGTGGCAGGGTAGTGTGGACCATATCAGGTATTGCTGACCACAGAAACATTGTTCAAAACAGCTGAGCACAGATGGACTCATGATACTCGAGTTAAGATTTCCAAGGCGCCAGAAATCTGGACTTATCAATTGGAGGAAAAGTACGGAAAGCCACGGCTAACACTCCATAGAAACATATCTGCATGTGATCAAAAGAACTGAGAATGACACCTCTGGTGGTGATATACACACTTCTGTACTGCTGGTCGGGAACAGGGCAGGAGATAGAGAACTGATTCCTGACCCTAGGGGAAGAAGTGGCCAGGGTCTTTAATTTCACTAAGTAAGTGTTGGGTCTGTGGGAGTCCAGGAGGATCTGAAGACTGGCCATGGGCGGCCAGCCCGATCAAACCCAGGTGGTTAGTAACCTAAGTGAAGTCCATAACGGTACAGAATTTTGGACCAAAGAGGGAAATCCATGCTGAATTCGATATCCGCAAAAAGGGATTTATTGCCTAAACCAAACAAGGGAAAGGGGTGTATATATGGGGAAGAGTGCCTGTGAATGGACACTGTCTCCCAGATATGATTGTCTCTACCCAGGTTGTAAACCAATAAATTATGCCAAGTATCAAGGGAATTGGAACCAAACTCATGTAAAACTCACTGATGGATCCTGGGTAAGGTGTTCGTATTTTGATTCACAGAATCACAGAATGGTAAAGGTTGGAAGGGACCTCTAGAGGTCATCTAGTCCAACCTCCCTGCTCCAGCAGGGACAACTAGAGCACATGGCACAGGGTGGCATCCAGGTGGATTTTGAAGATCTCCAGAGAAGGAGACTCCACAACCTCTCCGGACAGCCTCCAGGGCTCTGTCACCCTCACAGGAAAGAAGTTCTTCCTCACATGGAGGTGGAACTTCCTGTGTT